AGGTTTACTTTGCAGCACTTGCTGAATGTGGCTATGTAATGAAAAGGAGGATGGAATAATATTGCATTTAGGAGGGAAGCTGAATCCACTGAACTCACTTTCAAAATTATGAGGATTCTGTAGCTAGGTTGAGGTACAGAGGGCAGTGGAGAAATAGAAAAAGATTGAAGATGTAGGAGAGGTGATGGAAATAAGGTCACTTGGAAAGGAGGAAAGGTTTTAAGTTTTCCTCAAAATATTTTTTTTAGCTTTTGAAGGCCTACAAGTTATTGGTCTCATCAAAGGCTGGGCTCAATTTATCTCAAGATAATATTCTTGACCAGGGATTCATGTTACACATTTACTTATTAAACAGACCTTTCATCTCTCCTTGGGTTCAGAAGGGAAATGGATAAAGAAGTATTCTTGGTAGAAGTTAAGGATTAAAAGTTTACTAAAAAATCTTGAGTTGTGGGCGCCTGAATGGCTCAGTTGGTTAAGCGACTGCCTTCGGCTCAGGTCATGATCCTGGAGTCCCTGGATCGAGTCCCGCATTGGGCTCCCTGCTCAGCAGGGAGTCTGCTTCTCCCTCTGACCCTCCCGACCCTCCCCCTTCTCATGCTCTCTCTCTGTCTCTCTCTCTCAAATAAATAAATAAAATCTTTAAAAAAAAAAAAAAATCTTGGGGCGCCTGGGTGGCTCAGTTGGTTAAGCGACTGCCTTCGGCTCAGGTCATGATCCTGGAGTCCCGGGATCGAGTCCCGGGATCGAGTCCCGCATCGGGCTCCCTGCTCGGCAGGGAGTCTGCTTCTCCCTCTGACCCTCCTCCTTCTCATGCTCTCTGTCTCTCATTCTCTCTCTCTCAAATAAATAAATAAAATCTTAAAAAAAAAAAATCCTTAAAAAAAAAAATCTTGAGTTGTATCACAATCAATGCTACTAGGATGGCTGGTATGGTTTCAAAGTATATGCCTGGGATATGATGACATTTTAGAAAGGTCTTGACACTTAAAATAGATGTTGTTTTATATATATATATATATATATATATATATTTATATATATTTTATATATATATTTATATACACACACATATACATACATATATATATTTTATATATATATATACATACACACACAGCAATAAATGTTCTTTCATGTTTTTGAGTGCATTCTGATTAATGAAATATTCTGGTTTTAATACCTGTTTTATTATATAATCTGAATTACTAATTAAGAAAATGAAGCTCAGATGTTAAAAATAGCTTATATTAAAACTACATAGTATGGTGGCGCCTGGGTGGCTCAGTCGTTACGCATCTGCCTTCGGCTCAGGTCATGATCCCAGGGTCCTGGGATCGAGCACCGCATCGGGCCCCCTGCTCCATGGGGAGTCTGCTTCTCCCTCTCCCACTCCCCCTGCTTGTGTTCCCTCTCTCTGTCAAATAAATTAATTAATTAAATATTAAAAAAACAAACTACATAGTATGAGTAAGAAGGGAGTGTCAGGGCTTCAGACATCATTCTGAACTCCCACAAACACTTATGGAGAGCAAATTACTCTGAACAAAGTACTATGTTAGAGCTGAGAGGGACACAAATATTTAAGATGTGGCTCCTGCCTCTTAGAAGGTATATTAGCTAGTATAGAGTTCCAATTAACCAAATGCATAAGTGATTATTAGTAGATTATGTTACATATATTTTACTTTCCGTTTTCTATTCTGATAAGGCTCTCTTATCATTTCCCTTTTAAATCTTTCCCAACTATCAAAATTCTCTGTGCTTCAGAAATGGACTGTAGTGGCTAAACAAAGTGCTTTGTCCTTAGCAGCACTAATTGTGTATTTGTTGCACTGAAATGAATATCTTGTCCAGCTTTAACTCTCCTATGCTTGGCAATTGGCTGAATTGGAAAGTCAAAGACACGTTTAAAAGTGAGGACCGAATATTGCTGAGTATTGCAGCTGCCAAGAATCTCCTTTTAAAACCTAAAGTCTGTTACATAAATTATGTACTCTTTAAACCCTCTTCCATGTTCATTTACACAATTGATCATTGAAATTACTTTAGAATATGCATATCAATTATTTAGCATATTTTAAAAGCTTCCTTAATAACATCTTTAATAAGTGGATGCAATTATGTATTTATTTACTGCAAACAGTTATGAATAACAGATAACCTAATTATAGTTTATCATTACCTCTAATCATTCCAATGGAAAGGTTTCTCTTACTGCATTCATATTGTTGGTGCATGAGTATGGAAAGCAGCAGATTGTTTTCTGTGATCATAGATTTTAAATATTTACTCGCTAGTGCTGCATAATTCAGCACACTGTAGTTGGAAAGCAGTTTGTATGGTAGTGGATGCCTTGTCGGTGTTACAGAATACAGTTTCCCTCTGTGACTTCTGTGTGAGGTTGTAAAAATGGAAAGTATTCTACTTCGTTTTTCTAACCAATTAAAATCTGTTTAGCTGTAAATCCATAGAAAACCAATGTTTATGGTATATATCAATTTTATTTTGTGTAATTACCATATAGTTTAAGAATTCAAGCATTGTTTCTCATGGGCTACTAGTGCACAATACCAAAAATAAAATATATTCAGGGCGCCTGGGTGGCTCAGTTGGTTGAGCGACTGCCTTCGGCTCGGGTCAAGATCCTGGAGTCCCGGGATCGAGTCCCGCATCGGGCTCCCTGCTCAGCGAGGTGTCTGCTCCTCCCTCTGACCCTCTTCCCTCTCGTGCTCTCTGCCTCTCATTCTCTCTCTCAAATAAATAAATAAAATCTTAAAAAAAAAAAATAAAATATATTCATTCAGGGGCGCCTGGGTGGCTCAGTTGTTAGGCCTCTGCCTTCAGCTCAGGTCATGATCCCAGGGTCCTGGGATCGAGCCCCGCATCGGGCTCCCTGCTCAGCGGGAAGCCTGCTTCTCCCTCTCCCACTCCCTCTGCCTGTGTTCCCTCTCTCGCTGTCTCTCTTTCTGTCAAATAAATAAATAAAATTAAAAAAATATATTCATTCTTGGTAATCTAAATCTTTATGAAAGTAACAAAAAGGCATCCAGACAGCTTGTTTGATACATGCTATCTGTCCTAAGAAATCAAAACAAAGTTCTGTTATTTTAAAATATGGAACCACAGGCTATTTAATGAGGCAAGAAAACAGTTATTTTGTTTTGTTCACTCTAATAAATGTTACATTTATGATCTTGCTATATCCTTTGTGTGACTGGTTACTTGGTTGCCTTACCACATAATAGAAAATAAATAGTTCTAGTTATAATGAAAATAATCCAAACCATTAACCCGTTAAAAAAGTGAAAAAATTTTAAAATTTAATTTTGAACTTTCAACTCGGCATTCTGAAAGATTTCCTTTGCCATGTGGGTGCACAGTCCGGCAGTACAGATTGTTAATTTTTCACTCCCAGCTCTTACTATAATTTCTTACGCAATTCTGAGCATGTGTGGCAGTCCTTGTTCCAACACAATCTTTCAGTACTGCAAAACGACCTAGGATTACACTTCGCAATAATTTAGTATCATACTCCTTATGAGTGTGGATAAAAATTTCCATTTCATAAAAAGCGTTTATACTCTCTTAAGTTTCAATCCTTGAAAATAATCGGAATGTGGAAAATGCACACATTCCTTAATATTTTATAAGTATTTACCTACCGTCTCAACTATAGCTTGGCTTAGAGAACCTTCACAAACAGGATAGCACAGAATAGCGGCATTTTTATCAAAATGGGTCTACATTTTCCCAAGGAATTTAGTGACTCCTCTGAAATCACATCTCGGGTCTGCGGCTGTCAGGAGGAGGGCAAAGAATGAGGGGGCGCAGTGCATACTGGGTCTTGTAGTTCTGGTGCCAAAGGAGAGGGCGTGGCGTGGCGTGGCACGCTGGGAGTTGAAGTCCAATTGTCTCGCGGGAACTCCAAGCAGGCGTAATGTGGACTGTCTATCAGAGACACCAATTACAGATAGATACTTTCCCTTGGCTCTGCGCTTGCCGTATTGGTGATCTAGGGGCTGGGGTGGCGAACAGTGGGGAAAAAGGATGAAGTGGAGGAGCATGGCTCTGTGGGCCGTTGATGTTGCTACGACTAATCAAAAGGATTTAGTGCCCCGGAAGTGGCTGACCTACTGGGATCGAAGGGGGAGGCCTTTCCTCTCACTACGGTGGCCGGGGAGCTCGAGTGTCTGTGGCTGCGGCGCTGAGGTCGGAGCGTCTGCGTGTGTACTGGCTGCTTTTGGGGCGGCTTCTGCTAGAGCTGGAACATTTCCCGGGTTGGTGGCTCCTGCACATTTTTTACACTTCTCCAGTTCTGTTTCGGTGAGGGGCGATTTGAGCCTAGCGGAGTCAGGAGAAGGTTGGGACTTGGTGTTTCTGGTCCCCAAATGACCGGGTTTTTGGGGGACCCTGCCCTCTGTGGAGATCCTGTGGCCAACTGTTTAGGCTCTCTTTGAGGATTTTGGCGCCTCCCTCATCTACTTTCTAGTGTAATTTGTCTTCTGACCCCTGGCCCTTCCTGGGCTCCAAACCTAACAAACCGTAAGCCTTCCTGTAAGGCAGCTGTTCCCCTCTCCTTGTAGCTTTTCTTGGTATTCCAGATACGACCTCTTGTCCCCTAAGCTATCGCATCCGTTTAACTTTTTCCCATTTAAAAAAAAAACAACAACAAACGAGAGAGAGAAATGAAAATCAGAACCAAAACTTAGATTCTGAAGGTCTCAATCTTCTCATTCCTAATACCTTTCCTCCTTTTTGGCCTTTGTTACTTCTGCAGACCTTAACACACTCGCTTGAATATCTTTTTTTTTTTTTTTAAGATTTTATTATTTATTTGAGAGAGAATGAGATAGAGAGCATGAGAGAGGGGAGGGTCAGAGGGAGAAGCAGACTCCCCGCTGAGCAGGGAGCCCGATGCGGGACTCGATCCCGGGACTCCAGGATCATGACCTGAGCCGAAGGCAGTCGCTTAACCGACTGAGCCACCCAGGTGCCCCTCGCTTGAATATCTTAATGCCTTTCCATCCAGACATTAACGTTCACTCCCTTTATCTGGTTCTCACGCATCCTCAACGCTTCCACCTCCATCCCATCTAAGGGCTTTATAGGTTGGAAGTTCGAATACATTCTTAGGATGACTGGTGAATCTGAGAGACGTCAGTGGTCAACTCGCCATATCTCTGCTTATAGAGTTTCTATTTATTTAAGATTTCTTTGGCTTCCATTTTCGTTTTGTGTTGATTATTTTCCCACAAGGGGTTTGCTGCTACTCTACAGTTAGAGGAGAATACCTTGTCCGACAGCTCTTTGAATCTGAATTACTTAGGTGGGATATTTCCCCCCTCTATTCTTAGTCGGGACATATATCCCCTGTGGAATTTGCAATGATTTTGTGTCAGTTAATAGCAGATAGACACAAGGGAATGCTCTTTCCTTCTTGCTTGCTTGTGATCTCTGAATTAGATAATGAGTCATTGAAAGTACCCAGAGGGATTGGAAAAGCTTTAAAAGGTAAAGTCTATGTATGTTCCAGTTTACAAATTAATAAAGCTTCTTTCCTGAAGGAAGAGTTTCTAATTGGTACAATAATCTGATGCTGTATTGATTTATCAGTTCATTCTCTGTAAAATTTTGGGAACGGTTTAAAGTTAAAAATTAGCCAATATAAGGAATTGATAATGGAGTAAAAAAGGTTTAAAAACCATTTAACTAATGCTCTTTTTCTCTAAAATGGAATGCAAATATGTTGAAAAATTTATTTGTTGTAATTATTTGTGGTATATATTTTTTTAAGATTTTATTTATTTAGGGGCGCCTGGGTGGCTCAGTCGTTAAGCACCTGCCTTCTGCTCGGGTCATGATCCCAGGGTCCAGGGATTGAGCCCCGGACTGGGTTCCCTGCTCCATGGGAAGCCTGCTTCTCTCTCTCCCATTCCCCCTGCTTGTGTTCCCTCTCTTGCTGTGTCTATCTCTATCAAATAAATAAAGTATTAAAAAAAGATTTTATTTGTTTGAGAGGGAGAGAGAGAGATGATAGCAAGAGAGCACAAGCATGGGGAAGAGGGGAAAAGCAGGCTCCCCGCCCAGCGGGAAGCACAATGTGGGGCTTGATCCCAGGACTCTGGGATGATGACCTGAGCTGAAAGCAGACACGTAACTGACTGAGCCACCCAGGCGCCCCATGGTGTATTTTTATATATTTTGATACAGCTGGTAAAACAGCATTGTATACTCTTCACTAATACTTTGTAGACAGAAATTTTTGTACTTCCTGGCTTTATGGGGACTGTGTAACTCAAATAAGTTTGCAGTTTTTCTTTTCTTCTGATTATTGCACTATGGAAATCCTAATAGTAAAACTTTTGTTCTTCTTTGAGCAGTCAAATATAATCTATACATGTCAGTAAAATATAAATACTTGTACCCTGTCAAATTGGATTATTCCTAATTAGTCAGAAATGCTTTCAGCCATGCTTATGATTTGGAGCTAAATATATATTTCAGATTTAATTCACTCATAGAATTCTTGATTGGATAAACAATTAAGAGGCTAGATATTATGCAAACTTTTGATATTTTTCCTGAGATTTTATTCATTTTGTAAGCATTTATTGAATATGTCTTGCTATTTAACTATTGTCAGAAAAATCATCAAGGGCGCCTGGGTGGCTCAGTCGTTAAGCATCTGCCTTCCGCTCAGGTCATGATCTCAGGGTCCTGGGATCGAGTCCCGCATTGGGCTCCCTGCTCAGCGGGGTCTGCTTCTCCCTATCCCTCTGCTGCTCCCCCTGCTTGTGCTCTCTCTCAAATAAATAAAATCTTTAAAAGAAAAAAAAATCATCAAAACATTTATTGAGAGCATCCTCTTGTCCTTAGCTCTGTACTAGATGCTGTTAAAGCATTATTGGATTTAATCAATATAACAACTCAGTGAGCTGGTGAACATTATTTACATTTAGCAGATGAAGAAACTGAAGCTCAAACAGTTCAAGTCATTTAGTTAGTCCAGTTCGTTTTGACTCTTCCCACTATACCACAGCTGCAAAGATGTGTTCTCTATCCTGGAATATATAAGGAACATTAATTCAATAAGTATTTTTTGAAGCAGCTGTTATTTGGTACATGATATATGTTATCTGTTGCTGGAGATATAACAGTGAACAAAAGAGACAAAAGTCCCTGCTCTTGAGGAACTTACATTATAGCAGAATGTATGGGATGTAAACCTTGCCTTCAAGAAGCAGCAAGTACAACCAATATGCTGTATTAGATTTTATCTGTTTTAGAATGTTAAAGTTGAGGGGCGCCTGAGTGGCTCAGATGGTTAAGGTCTGCCTTCAGCTCAGGTCATGATCCCAGGGTCCTGGGATCGAGTCCCGCATCGGGCTCCCTGCCCAGCATCTCCCTCTGCCTCTGCCTCTGCCTCTGCCTCTCTCTCTCTCTCTCTCTGATTCTCATGAATAAATAAATAAAACATTTAAAAAAAATGTTAAAGTTGAAAAGAGATTAACTAGGAATGATTTAACGAAGAAGATGAGATTTAATCTAGAACTAAAGTAGTGACTGTAGATCTGGTAGGTAGAAATGGGGAGGAAAGTGATTCTAGCTTGAGGCATAAAAAGAAGAAAATTCTGAATTGTAGGGGAGAGATAAAAGAGGGACGGACAAATAACTGGACTGCTTTGTATCTTTAGTTCCTTGCACACACAAGTGCACAGTTTTGGTTGAATTGGAAACAAATGTTTAAATGAATGAAGCTATGACAAGAGTTCAGATATATAGCAAGGAGGAATTAGATAGATCTAGTGTTATTTTAATGGGACTGGGAGAAAGGAATAGATTTGATAGCTGTTGGTGAAAGAACCAGTAGGTTCTGTTAATATTCAGTGTTGGGAGTAGCGTGGTGGCCAAAGAAGAAAGGGAGGCTAGATTACCAAGTTTGAACTGAGTGGACCAGGTGTGTTATTGATTTACTTATTTCATCAAATCATGAGATTAAAAAAAAAATTCCAAGATGCACCTTTGTTTTATGAACCAGTATGAAAGAAAAAAATATTGCCAATGTAACAAAGATCGTCAACTATAAGATGTATTCATTTTCAGAGTTAGAATGTAAATGTATGATCTAGAAATGATGAAATAAAGTACTCCTATGGTTGGTGGACCTTATAACTAATTTTTTTCTGTTTATAAATAAACTTGCAATCTTTGACATGCATTCAATCATTTAGCATTTACTAACTGGGCAGTCTCCTAGGTCACAATGATGAAATGGTGAGTAAATAAAATTTCTACCCGCATAGAACATATTGTATAACTGGGGAGGCAGACATAAATCAAATGTTCAAAGAAATTTAAAGTTTGCAGTTATTTAAGTGCTATAAGAAAGGACTTGATGTTATACAGAGGAAAAACTGCTTACAAGAGGGACAGCAGTGTGGATGGGGAGAGGCCAGATGAAAAGATGAAAATATCCTGGGCAAGATGGTGGTGAAGATGGAAGTGGGTGGATTTAGAGATATTTAGGAGGTGGAACTAGGTGATAGACTGGATGTGAGGAATGAGGGAGAGGAAGGTGGTGCCTAGCTTTTTGGCTTATGTAACTGGATGGATAGTGGTACAGTTCATTGAGAGAACACTATAAGATAACCAGGTTTGGGGGGACATGGTTTGTTTGTTAATATTTTTTTATGGTGGCATCAGTTTTCAAGGTTAATTTCTTGTTTTTTTCTTTTATGTCATTGTTTGAATTAAGTATACTTGAGGAATGGTGTACCTGAAATAAATTTTTTCAGTGTTTTTTTTTTTTCTTGAGTGAGCAGGGATAAAGTTCTAGATGAAAGCATTTGGAAATATGTTGGTATTTGTTCTGAATTTATATGTAACATATTCAACCATATATATGAATAGGTATATGATCTTTATTTTCATGTGGGATTATTGGCAATAAATTGGGCATCTGGTTAAATTCTAACTTCATTCAATTAGTGTATATGTAAATTTAAATGTGTATTAGGGAAGAAAGACATGCTCTTGATTTTTCCTTGAAATGTCTCCTTTGTGTAACTTTTGATAGATGTTGAATCAATACAGTCAGTTTATTTTTTAAATTTTATGTTTCATAGTAAAGCAGTAGAATGTGTAGAGCAGAGAGAATGGCCTCTGGAGTCAGACTGTCTAGATTCAAGGTGTGTTTTGCTATTTACCAGCAATATGACCTTGTAGAAGTTATTTAGTCTTTCCAAGCCTTTTTCCCCCTTAATCTATAAAATGAGGATAATAATAGTATCTGCATTATAGAGTGGCTGTAAGGATTAAATGAGATGATATATGTGCATAGGTTAACAAAATTCCTGGTACAGAGTTTGTGTTTATTATTGTTACAGATATGTGGTCTGAAATTATCTGTGTGTCTTTAACAACATTTTCATTATAGAGATCCTTATAACTAAAAGATCTCAATTGGAGAAAAAATTTGCTTGGTTAGTCATATTTGGATTTGGAGTAAATATTATGTAAGATAGTTTTGCTGATACATAATTGTCCTAGATGAGTTAACACATGTCCTCTTTTAAGTATTTTCATTAGAGATTATGTTTAGTCTACAGCTATAATAGGAAACTAATGGTGGCTTGGTTTGTAATTACTTATTATTTGTTAGGATTATTACTTTTATTTTTATTTTTTTATTTTTTTTATTTTTTATTTTTAAAGATTTTATTTATTTATTTGAGAGAGAGAGAATGAGAGAGAGCGAGCACATGAGAGGGGGAGGGTCAGAGGGAGAAGCAGACTCCCTGCCGAACAGGGAGCCCGATGCGGGACTCGATCCAGGGACTCTAGGATCATGACCTGAGCCGAAGGCAGTCGCTTAACCAACTGAGCCACCCAGGCGCCCTATTACTTTTATTTTTAGCCAAACCTTTCTAAACCTCATACTTGCTTTTAGTGCTTATGGAAAGGATAAAAAAGTAGTTAGACTTAATAAAGTCTGATCAATTTAATTTCCACCCTACTTTTTTCTCCCAACATTTTTCTTTTGAAAGTTTCAAACCTAGGGCGCCTCGGTGGCTCAGTCAGTTAAACGTCTGCCTTCAGCTTAGGTCACGATCCTGGTGTCCTGGGATCTGAGTCCCTGCTCAGTGGGGAGCCTGCTTCTCCTTCTGCCCCTCCCCCCCCACTTGTGCACACTCTCTTGCTCGCTCTCTCTTGGAAAAAAAAAAAATCTTAAAAAAAAAGAAAGTTTCAAACCTATAAAAAAACTGAAAGAATAGTACAGCGAGTACCTGTATTATCTTCTGTTTAGATTCAGTAGTTGTTAACATTATACCTCATTTTGCTTTCTCTCTCTCTAAATACACACACATTGCATGCTTTGTTTTTCTTGCTGAACCATTGGAAACTAAGGTGGAGTCATCCTGACACTTCACTCCTAAGTTCTTCATCATATATCTCCTATGAACCAGGACATTCACCTACATAGCTGTAATGCTGTGTGCACACCCAAGTAA